GTTTCTTAAACTAAGTACAAACAGCAGTAAAATTAATGAAGCATAAGAAAAAACATCTATTTTATTTAAGTGCTTTAATTTATTTAACTACTATAAACATCAACTGGTTGCACCACTAAACACGTTTGAAATGCTGACACTACTCCAAGGCAACTAATCATTAAAAATAATTCTGATTGTTCTTCAGCATCCTTACATAGACATGTTGATAACTTTAAAAATCTTTGTTGAAAACGTGCCACAAGTAAATGAAAAGTGACAATGACATAACCAATTCTAGAAGAATGTCATACATATTTCAATGACTATCAAAAGTTTAGTGTTTAAAAAATATCATACTGCCCCTACATTTTTATTATTAATTTTGCTCTCAGGTTTTGACTGTGAATCATGACTGTAAAACTTTTAATCATCCTTTTTCACATTTGCTTCCTGTATCCTAGTGTTTTTTCAGGTTTTCCAGAATCTTCTTCCATTGAAATGTCCCATAATCTTGAAATGTACCCTGGCACAAGGCCTGAAGGTCGAGAGAGTACAAATCAGCCAGATGAGGTGTTGCCTAGGTGATGGAGGGGTTAATTCGGTAGTGTGCTGGTGAGACTGCATCATCTCAGGTGTGAAACCTTTTCAGGGAGCATGTGAATGCAAGGAAACTGATCTAATCAGTGGCTCTTAGCTCAATAATCTGCCTTCCTGGAGTATTTTATTGTTCAACAGCTGGTCCAATCTGCAGTCATTGTTCCCCGTACTGAGGGGGTAGGAATCCTTTACTGCTTTGAATAAACTGCCTTATTTTTCACTGCTGATCTGTCAGTTTGTCCCAGGGGGTAGTATAGTCAAAACCAAGCCAGGCTAGAAAAAAAATCACACCCCCTTCATTACAATGCTGTTAAAAGAATCCCATGCAGGTGAGAGCTGCTCCAGCATGCTGCCTATACTGAAAAACTCCCACCCAGAGAGATGGTCTTAAAACATGGTCTGGATCACTGAACTCTGGGATCTACAACTGCATCTACAACAGAAACTACAGTTCAGATAAACACTTCAGTGGGATGTTTAGTAGGCCCCGGTTAGCACTAACCTTGGGCTACCTATTGTGAATTTAGCTTAGCACCGCAGGACTAGTATTATGCCAGCCCTTTAAGTGCTTGTGTCTTTAGGTTACTTTGCAAACCTCAATGTTAAATCAATAATCTTGGCACATATGTCTGTAAAATAAAAACTTGGAGCAGGAAATGTGTGTTGTGGAATATGTTCTGATTGGTAGTAGAGTGCATTCTCTTAGTTTTCAATTTGGCAAAAATGAAAATAAATGTGCTCAAAGGCCATAGGTCCCAAAAAGGATCTTAATTTATCTTGTCTTGTCCTGATTGCAAATGCAGATTATGTTGTGACTATAAGACTGTCAAATGTTACCACTACTTTAAAGCAGTTTTAAAAAAATAGCTAGTTTTGAATACAGAGCATACAGAAGAAGAAATGATCTGCCATTTAATGTGCATTGTAAGATTTAGTTTGAGTGGTGATGAAGATACTGCCCCACTTTATAGTGTCTTGTTCTACAGGGGATCAATAGATTACCTATCTATCTACAGGCTAAGTTATACCAAATGATTGGATTTGTGCATTTTGTTATTGTTTTAAAATATTCCCAATTTAGCAGACAATAAAATAATATATGCTTTTCAGTGTCCAACCACAAAAGATTAATTAGGCTCCAGTAACAGTGGGAATGATGAAGCAGTGTTATGTGTTTCTTCCCTGCAGGAGCATCCCAGTTTTTCTCTGCCACTGGATCGTTCCTCCTGGCTTTCCTGAATTCTTTGCAAACCATCACCCCCCCACCACCACCACCCTCATCTGGAGGCCAAGAGTTTAATGTGAGAAAAGAACTCCACCCCTTGCAATTCCTGACAGTATCAATTTCAGCTCAGGTAAGTGACAAAGCACATGAAAAAAAAGGTGCAATTATGGTTAATAACAGTGTTTGAGAGGGAAATGCAATTAACCAGCTGTGAGGGGAGTGATTATGTCAACTGTACTGTTGCATGTTGGGTAATGTATTTGACTTGGCCAATTTGGTGACATGTGAGATCTGCAGAATTTTGCTGATTTTTTTTTCTCTCATTCTCCAATCAACAGTCTAATGGTCAATAATCATAGCCCCCTCTCTGCCTTTCATGGTATAATATGTATCTTGTTTCTGTTGCTTTTCTTCGTGTTGAATGTTCAAAAGTTTCTTTTTCTCAATGACATCTGTCAAAGTCTTACTCATCAAGATTTGGCATGCACCTATTTGTTGATCTCTGTTTTTCACTTTTAAAACAATTCTCTACACAACAGATGGCATTAAGAATGCTTTACAAAACCCCTGCTTCACTGAGCTGTATGTGATCTGTTCAAGTCCGAAATTACTTTATTATTCCACCGTGCAATGACTGTTCAAGGCTCCTACCATCACAATATCAAACAAAAGAGCTTTAAATTTTAAATGAATGCACTGTGACTTACCTGACTATATTTAGTTGCCTAAGACCTGGAACTTTATTCTGAAATATCTGTGCCTGACAGTGTGAGAAGAAGTGGGATGTGTCATCCTACTGTGACAAGCTTCTAGCTGCAAACAGAAATTTCACCTGAAGTTACACTTGGTGAAAATTTCTAAATAAAGAATTAAAACACTGAGACAGACTTAACTGGCAGCAGAGTTCCCATGGGAAGTTACTGCACTAATAAGATAACACAAGTTGACTAAATAGGTAGGAAATTGTCTTCAACTTCGAAAATGACTCAGAGCTAGCACCTATGAATATGACCTTTAGTTTCAACAAGATGCTGTTCTTTTTACCCACAGTGCTCCATATTTATCTCCCTGCTGCAGTAATCCTTTTACACTGCTTTGCTACTGTAAGAAATCCCACGTGAATCAAAATATATGACAACCAGGATATATGTATGCCTTTGGCTAGGCGATTTTTGGAAAAACACCACAGAGAGCAGATGACTTTCTTACTGTAAACCAAAATGATGAGCACAACACAACAAAAAAAAACGGATATTGTGAACGACGTGTGGGGAGCTACTTTCCGTGCAGTTGAATGACTGCAGTGCAGAGAGGAAGATGATGCTGAGGCAAACAGAGAGAGGGCAGCCGACACACACTGCAGAGCAGTACAGTGAAGCTTGGGAGAGGGGGGGCTGGGAAGCGGTTTTTAGTGACAGAGAAAACATTGTTAGAGCCCCTGACTCACCACCCCTGAGAGCCTCTGGGTTCCCACGATCCCCTCTGCAAACAAACGTACCCCGCTTTCTCTTCCTTAACAGTGATGTCATCAATTACCATCAAAATGTGTGCGACTGGGAGTGTGCGTGTGTCTGTTAGCGTGTGTGTGATGGGGAGAGAGGGAGAGAGAAAGGGACTATTGTTTGTACTGAAATAAAGAAGTGTCCACTGAACCATTGTAAATGAGGACGGCAGGGAAATCGACCAAAATACAGGATTTACTGTGTTATTGCTGAGCTGTCACATCATGTCAAGGACTCACAAAAGCTGATGTCTGGTCACTGCCTGGTTTGACCTCTGAGGGACACTGTACCCCTGCAAAGCAGCATCTCTGAGATTCATCATTAGGGGTTTAAGACATGGCCCAAGGCTTTAACTAAGAGGTGGAGGTGATGGAGAGCATCCAGGAAATCAGAACACTTTTAGCTACAAGCCTTCAAGGTGGCTGAACCCAGATATCTACACAAATCCACAAACCTGTACTGTTTCTAGATGCAAAGGCATGTACTTACATTTATGATTGTTGTCTATAAATTGCAAAAGGGAACGTTTGCTTGGTATTCCTTTGTCTTGGTCACAGGTAGGAGTTTGTATAGAAAAGGAAACATGCCACAACATTTTACAGTGGTTTTCAGTTTGACATCTAACAGTACGTTAATGTACACATCATTGTATATAATTATTTGCAAATTCTCAAATAAAAGCTGCTTTCCTTGTTTTCTTTACAGTAATCATAAAAAGACAGAGCTCCTCTGGCAAAGTGCACATCCAGGGATATAGCACTTATCGTTCTTCCAGATCCAAGGATCCTACGAAGCATGATTGCGTGATGTGCTTGAATGTAGGTTCATCTTCTGTAGCTTTTAGGTCATCCATTACTGCTCTGATTTTAGCAGGAAGTGGTGGGGCTCCCCGAATTTAAAACTTTAGAAAACTTGAAATTTAAACACTTTATTTAAAAGAAATAAATTAGGAATAAATTTATTTTCCTGCCTTACATTTTTTTTCTTCAAAAACACTTGATATTGGCAATCAAACTTATAATAATGTACAGGCAGCAAGACAGATTTTTAGTGGCACAATCAAATGTGATTGTGGGAGCAAGAGACCAGAAAGACCAGTTGGATGACAAAGAAGGCATATGGTCTTGATTAAAGCACATTGCATTAATTGGGAACTCAAAATGATGAACCAGGGAAAAATGAAGACCAAGCTTGTTTGTGCTTTGTTTATTCCACAATAGTGCCTATAAACTTTGCCCTGAGAGTGAAGAATTGTCCTGTGCCTGAACTTCAGACTGCCACATTATTTGATTTACAAGGGCAATATTTCTGATTGCTGAACAGACAACCATTGTTTGTGTCACTTAGGGTCTTTTAATCAGCTGAAACAACAGACACCGCTAATCTGCAAACTGCAACAAGAACAGTTTTTGCTTACTAGTAAGGGTTAGAGTCTGAATAAAGACATGAATAAATCCCCATCATGATGTTCTTCGTAACAGATGTTTGTGTGTTTACTTTGTTCTGTCTCACACATTTTTTGTTTGTTAATATTTTTACTCCTCTGAATGAAAAAAATAAGAGAATGTGATGCATTATTTTAAAAGGGCATATACAGTAGCCCTCCTAGTAGAGACAATACAGTTGATTACGATTGGTTGGCTTGTCAATTTAGTATAAAGACAGTAAAAGAAAAACCCAGCGCGAGAATTCACTTGACTTTGAACATCATTTTTTATTATTAAAAAATCAATGGTTGAGGATACACATGTATTAAAATATCTTTACCAGCAGTACTGACATAGACTGTTGTCTCTTATAATTGCAATTATTACAGATGCAAATGAAAAAGGCACATATACTAAGACTGCCTATTTATAGTAGATGTTTACATAGTCAACAATGGAAAAGAAAACGCAAGAATACCACAAGATGGTGCCACTGTGGCATGGCATGTGTTTACAGACCTGCAATGCTGGCACAATTCACACAGGACAAGCAGACAGTAGGCAGCTGGAGAAATAGCATATTTACTAGGTTACACAAAAAGAACACAATCACTTGAATGTCTTTCTATGCGCTATTGTAATGTGTTAGGTATAGAGCCTGTGTATTATTATTATTTATGTGGAAAGGATTTTTCAAACATCACGGTGTCTTCTTATGTGTTTAAACATTTCTATTTAATGAAATTGCCTGATTCTCAAATTCCCTCTGCCTCTGTTGACTTGATCTAATGGCTCACCAGGATACACTGTTATGCTGATAGTGTGAGTGCAATCCTGTTACATAACAGAGAACAAATTCCGGCATTTTGGCACTCCCAGTCACTCTCACTCGTCCTCCAAGGTCTCCTTTTCTACGAGTGTGTGAAATCCAGGCTCGATCCCGACCTGTCACAGAGAAAACACGGTTCACCATTACCAGGGCAGGAGCACAACATCGTCTCTTTATTGCACCTTTCAGAAGCATACAAATGGATTTTTAACAGACCAGTATTGGGAGGTTTTGGAAAACAAAACATTTTTACACAATATGCTATTTCTATGGAAAACTGGGCAGAAATGCAGTAAATGTTATGGATCATATAATTGAAATGAATTGTATCAAAACTAAAATACATACAGGAATCATTTGACATAAAAAAAAACAACCTGCATGCAGGTTTTTTCATGGTAAATTTTCATCTACCCTGAACAAGAAAACACTCTTCTGATTGGATATGGCCTGTGTTTTTATGGTGAGGAGATTCATCTAGAAAGCTGCAGGTCTTCCATACAACAGCTCAACTTAATGAGGTGTTTTCTTTGTCTTTCTTATTTCTCATATCAAATTAAGACATATTTCGTTTTCATGTTTCATTTAACAGCATGTTCAGTTAATGTCAAGGAAATAAACTTTCCAAATTAACCCACAAAACTGCATTTTATCTGAAGTATTTGACAAAAAAACTGAAACCGCTGGGAGGGCCATGTATGATTTAAAATGAAGGCTAATTTCCATGTAATAGAAGATAATTTCATTTGAAAACACATGTTGATGTGAACTTAAATTATTAATGTGTCCTGCAAATAGGAGACAATGTGTGCATCTCAACATAAATTATACACTTTCATGAAGAGCTGGTTTATGCTTAATTTTTAATTAACTGCGATGTTTATCTTTAGTCAGAAAACAGCGTCACTCCCAGAACACAGACAACCCTCTCGAGTCTTAAGGAGCCTCAAAAAATAGTAACAATCTTGACTGGAATGCTTGCCTGTTTGTTCATGACAATACATACCATCTGAGTGACAAGTGAGAATTCTGCAGCAAGACACTGAGAACTAAACTTAACAGAGTCATCCTGTGAATTAGGCACTGCACTTGCTATGTGCCCCATTCTTGTCAGTGATATTTATAAGTCATGCCTTTCTGTGGCTGCCCACCATATGTGGTATCAACAACATCAGTAGAGTGGCACAGTGTGAAGTACGTTCAGCTGTTGACATCTTGAAAGAAATAAGCGCAGATTCAGATTCAAAACAGAGTCGTGAAGTGCAACATCCTATCCACTAGTAATTTACACTGTTTTGGCAGGAAGGCGACCAGAGAAGGCAAGGGCTGTATTACTGATGGGTAGCCCAGAGAGCAGCAGTACTCAACAATTGCCAATATCAAACACACCAAAGTTAATATCAAGAAATGTTGCAATATCCTGCTGGCACAGGATATGAACTTTCAAAAAATGAACAGATTTTGTCTGATATTTTGTAAAGCAGTCATTTCTATGATAACGCTCAATTGCTGTAGCTCTTCTTTTTGTAGCTAGTGGTATCTCTAGAGGTTATGGCTGTAATGCCACTTAACTCGTAATGTGTTTCAGTGGTTAATGAGCCATAGTTAACACAATGCACGCATATTTAAATTATACATATATTATACAATTTATATGCATTTTGAGATTGCCACATCCTTTATCAGTGGTGTTAAACACAGGCGCATGAGACAATGATTACAATAATGGCAACTTGTCTGTGTGTGACTGTCACAGGCAGTGGTATATTTCAAGGTGAAATCATTAATGGTTTCCTTTATTCTCTTGCTTAGCATCATCATTATCAGATAGCTGAAAACATCTAGAGGGCACGGCCAAGTCAAGAAACACAGGAAATATCGACCGATATATGGAGAAATCATTTCAGAACAATACATTAACCATTGACCTTAGAAACCTGTATTTCTCTTGTTCTGTAGAAAACTATAAGGAAAAAAGGCTGTGAGAAAAAAAAACAATTATGGGTAGGACACACTGCAACCATGCATGCATCTACAGTATAAAACCTCCTTAAAACATTTAAATATATTGCCATGAAAATACAAACTGTGCTTTACAATGCTTTGTTCAAAATGTACATGAAAGGCCACTCGGGAATCACAATATGTTGAAGCATCTTATTGCTTCAGGGTTGGGCCCTTGACAGAACAAAGGGTTAATTAATTTAGACTTGGGCTCATCCAACATCTTTAACTATGATCATTCAGGCTAGATTTGCTCCTGTACACACAGGTTGCTCTTAAGTCAAGCGGACAGTTGAGGGTCCCTATGCAAAGCAACAGCTGGGCCTGGGCCAATCAGCAGAGAGCTTGCTTGCACTTCGCAGCTGCTAATGAGCAAATGAGCAAAAAGGCTCTGGCTGAAGGGCTGCAGGGCTGCTCTGCGGGGGACTGGGCTGGGCTCTTTCCTTACACATTGCTGCACCAATTAGTTGATGCATAGAGCATTCACTTTTAATTTTTGATTACTGATTTCCTCTCCCCCCTCTGTAACCCCCCACCCCCCACTGCCACACACACACAGACATACAGACGTGTGCTGTCTTTGTCCCCATATCCAATGACTCTGCAGCACCGAAACAGCTTTTACTCAGGAATAAAAAAACTACCTTTGTAAGAGAGCAACATAATTACCAGGCCCTTAAGAAGAATGAATCCAGCTCCATTGTGCGTTTACATTCACTCTCTTTACACTGATGTGAGTGGAAGCTGATTCTGTGTGCCATTTATTGATAAACACAAAATGCTGAAGGAATATCATTTTCATATTTTGACAGAGCATGCTCTTTCATTTGCAGCATGTCAAAGAACCAGGCTTGCACCCACAAAAGTCTGTTGTCCTGCCTCCTCTGCCTTTCTCTAAAACAGCTCTAACACAGCCTCCAGTGCAAAGTCTCTATACTACGCACTTATCTGTACCATGGATTTATTTCCTGTGGTACAAACTGCGTGCAATCATTAAGGAACAGGTTACCTGTCCATGGAAACAGCACTGTGATGCACGTGGAAGGGTCAAGATCCACTGCCAGGACTTCAGACTGATCTCCAGAAAGGTTTAAAAATGTGAAATCTTAGATCCCTGCCTTTAATTGGGGATGAACATACTATTAATACTAAAGAATTCATTTTCTAGTTTTCAGTGGACCAAAAGGTGTGTGCACTAACAGTGGAAAAGAATATCCTTAAGGCTGTACCACATCCATGACACCTCTGGCCCATATCAGGCTTCACCTCTAAAAATCATATTTTATCAGATATATATATAATTAAGTAAGTATATCTGAGGATGTGTGTACTGTACATTAACCAGATTCTACACTGTTCCTATAAGACAGGAATCTTTGCTCCAAATAAAAGCCAAATAATCACAGATGCATAATATGGTGAATAGAGACATATTTGCAGTGATGCCAAGAACAACAAAAAAGCACCAAAACTGGCAGAATCAAAATCAGGAAGCAAACTGAAAGTCATTTCTGTGGGGCCTGAAAAGACCCTTGTTCCTCTCTCAGCTGTATCCGTTAGGCATTCCCAGTACAGCCTGCTCTCCTTCCTCAGGCTTGCAGCGGAAAATTGTGAACACAGCCTCCGTGGCTGAATGAGAAAGAGAGAGAGAGTGTGCAGGGGCAGTCAGTGAAAGCCAAGCTCTGCCAAGCTTCAGCAAACACCTCCACCACAGCCCTGTGCTAACACCCCTTTGTTAGGGCAGATCCACATTCTCTTTCCTCTCCGAGTTCAGATTAAATCTTGTTTTTGACTGGGCCATATGCACACAGTATTTGTAGCTTCCATACCAACCTCTCACAGTCAGTCTACTTTAATTCATAGGTCATATATGTCGGAGATTTTTTTTTCTGAAGCTCTTTGCAGTTACACCTCTATTATGCATACAAATAAACAGCATCTTTTGCAGTAATGCTGGGTGCTGCACATTTGTGAAAGATCAGTAGATTTATATTTGACTTTTTGACATGCCATGATGTGATGAAAGTTTAAAAAAAGACTAAATAAACCACCATTGTCTGACTGCAAAAGCATCCTATAACATTACATCCATTACTTAAAATCATAGCCTTTTCGTGTTATGTTTTAAGCTACTTTCAGGAAATCCTTGATTTTTGTAGTTATTTTCTGCTATAAGAATGTGTGCCTCAGTACATTCTTTTGTTATAAACTCAATAAACCTCCAAATAATAACGGGAACAGGGAACTGAACTGTCTTTATTTGTTGGTAGAATGCCAGAATCTGGGCAGCTGAATACTTTCAGTATCAATTAACAGTGCATAGCAATGACCCACATCCACAGCTGGCTGAGTGACAATGGAAAATGATGGAACCTCCAAAAAACACCTTAAATTTTCTTAAGGCAGCAAACAAAAATAGTGATGATAATACCAACAATGGCAGCAGTGAAGCTTTAAAGCCCATGATATTTTTTACTCCAGGCTATTCACTGTGCATAGTTGAAATACACCTGTGAATAGTTTCCCTATAAGAGCGATGCTGTGTGCCATCTCTTTCAATAAACCACAGAGTGGGACAGAAACACAAGAATATAATCCTGTAGGATAATTTATAGGATAATCATGGTCAATTTATTTTTGGCAGAAAAAAATTCAGTACCCAGCAAATTCCAAAGATATGAGTGTAGAAATTATTTTCTTCTTTACAGCCATTCTTATTCTATATTTATTTCTTTAATCATCTGACTTTCGGCAAAAAAGGTACAGTAATTCAGCTAACCGATTCTCAATGAAGAACAACGAGTGGCGTTTTGTGTGATTCTTTTACATTAGGTGCTTTGCAGTTCTGGGCAGTACAGTTTTCTGCTAAAACAACATCTTTTACAACAGGAACGTCATGCCGAATTCGCTTTGTATCTAAAAAAGTATAAGCATTAGTAAAACGTAACGAGTTACCCATGTTAAATATATTAACACGGGCATTTATTTCTGTCTCTTTATGCCTTCTCTCACAGATATGCAAGCTGACGTTTCACACCCAGAACTGCACCAGCTCAGTGATAGAAATGGACGTGTTGCTGTAAACTGAGCCTGTCGTGAAATGCAGTAAAAATAGGATTTTCTGGGCAGGTAAAATGTTTCTAAAGGAATGCAGACATCACGCATATTATTCCGTATTTCATATAAGCAAAACTACGTTCCTGCTTTCCAACAACTAATATTTCAAAATAGAACCATCAATACACAAAGATTAAGCAAAAATGTAAGAAAATCTAATAAAAAATATTTGTCATAAACATTAATTATTGCATCGTTGAAGGCTTCATGAAATATTTACCTATTAAATAGTAGATGTGTTCATTTTGTATCCTGCTAGCGTGGTATTTACCTTGTGAAATAAGTGAATATTCAGTATCAATTTTCAAATATGGAATTTGCATTTCTTCTATGGAATTTGAAAATATTGCACTTATCAGTACTATTATGAACAAGACGTAAAGTTACCTAGCATGCATAAACAAAAACTTAAAAAACTAAGTATACTTTAAATATTTCGCTTGCTTGATGTTTTTATCTCCTTAAAATGTAACTATCATTTTAAATATTTCACTAACCATAAATCTCTTCATAGAAAAGTCAACTAATACAGTCTATAGGCCTATCTAAAAAAAATGTTTTGATAATTCAACGATGCGAATACAGCACTTCCTTTTATGTTATAAAAGGTGGTTTATGGTAACAGGCTTTAGTTTTAACTTTGTAACAGATGTCGAGGTTTTTCGGTAATAAGGAATATACTAACAATATTATTGCAACATAGTTTTAGGTATTTAAACCTGACAGGTAAATGTGTTATTTATTTTGGTTGGAATGGCATTTTGTAATGCCTATAATGGGCTGACTGATACTATTCGTTGTTTCACACTTAACCTAATTCGAGAAAATGAAAGCTAAATCTGAAAAAAATACAGCAGTTCAGTTTTATCGCTGTCACCGTAGCGAGCACAAATGAGGAAAGTATGCATAAAATTCAGGGAATTGTGACGTGTGACCTTTCACCATAAGATGATTTAAAACTGAAACTGAAAAATGTGATTTAGTTTGCTAGTTTACATTTATTGTTAATATATCATTTCAAGAAGACAAAATATATAAATTAGGTAAATCTTTAAACTCTAGATAACAAACTTCCAAAACAGTATGTACAAAACGAATTATTTTAGTGTTTGATTTTGACTTCTAACTTCAGGTTACCTTTCAGATCAATAAAGCAATGAAAGTTGTCTATTGTTGTAATTGCATTTCTGTAATTGAATAAAAGGACTACCATTTAGACTACCCACTGCATATGCGTTTCATATGAGCTAGAGAATGTACTGATACATTACGTCTTATACTGTATATGAGACGCAGGCTCGAAGTATGTAGTGAGAAATTATGAATGAATCAAAGGCCGTCTGTATTCAGTTGCCTAAGACCATGTAGAAAAACTCACATTAACAAAAAAAACAGGTTCATTTGATTAAAACCAATTTATGTTATATAGGTTTTCTTATAAAAGTTCACAGTGAGTTTTAGTCTAAGGCTTGCAATAAATTGTAAAATGATAGGGGTATTTTGTTTCTAATAATTAAAATGATATAATAAATATTATTTATATATATAGAAGTTAACATTCATAACTTATTCGTAACAGATCCACCTTGAATTTGTAAAATTTTCTGTTAACATCGGATGGCTATTCTAATGTATACCAACATACCTAAAGTATTCAAGTATGAAATAAAAAAAATTCAGTTGTGTACACTGAGCATTTCTAGAACTGCAGTTTTTGTTATACAGCATCTATACAATCCAAACAATTATGCTGTGCTTTTGTACCGCAACATAAAATGACAACTAGAAGCAATTGTAAAAACAGTAAAAAAAAAAACATTGGAAATTGTAAACATTAAATATTCTAATAAAAATTGTCTACATGAAGTTACAATAATTAGACAACAGAACAGAAAAGGCATGATTATTTTACACCAGTTACCCTTCATGATAATTTTCAGCTGTATGTACTTAATGTGCAGAAATCTACTCATTTTTGTCCTTATGAGAAGCTCAATGCATTTCACTGTTTTAATGCTAAAACACTAAACCTTTTATCACCATGTGCAATGCTCTTCAGTGTTTAATATTAGATTTTGGATACATTCATATAAGGATTTTTACCTGAACATTTTAACTCAAATTGTTTGTAAAGTAAACTTTTAATCAGTAGAAAACTGTCTTCCTGATGCTGATGATAATTTTGGCTTTAAAGTAATTTGAGTATCTTTTAACATTAACAACCTAAACCACCGAAGAGCAATTGCATTTATTTACTTTTGCACATATAAGTCAAGCTGGTCTTACTCTTGAGGAATCTCTGATGAATATTTGTTCTGCACAAAACTCTGCAGGACGTGTCAGGTATAGAAAATCATCCTCCTGCATCTTTCTAGCATTCAGGTGGGTTGGTCTGCTTTGACATAAAAGTAGTCCTGCAAAGACAGATGGAAGCATTTTCAGTTAACCATGCAAACAGTCTTGTTTCACAGTATGCATACTTGCATTGAACCTTGCATTGGCATCTAATTTTTATCAGCTTCTCACAAAAGCTGTAAAATTGTTGATAGGAAGGTAGTGACTTTACAATAACGTACAGTACTTACACTTTATTTAAAAAGCCACTTTGACTTGATGGAAATTCTGATTTGCCATTTTTCTATGTTATAGTTATAATTTAAATTGCGTACAGAATTATTTTACAGGATGCAGGTTTGTCTGTCTTAGTTGGTTAATCCTGAGTTTCAAAGACTTTAATTGGAGTCCTGCTTTCTACAGCCTCTGCATGTCATCTCTATTCCATGTTTCACATATTGCCTTACGTATTCCTTGCTGTGATTTGGGGAAAAAAAACAGTGACAGGTCACACTCCCCTACACAGTTTTGGAGCACAGTGGCAGTTACACAGAGAATAAGGACATGATATTGATTTTTTGTTTTGCTGGTAATTTAAAGAGTTTAAAGATATTACCTGGGAACTAAATGCATTCCTGAAGTTTTTTATTAGAGGGAAAGCTGTATTTTTTTAAAACACACCTGTTATATTGAGGGATTTTATTGATTTATATGATAAGGGTGATTGTAAGGTATAAATTATATTAAGCAGCGAAAGGATGAAATATTTTAATTTTTAGATTTTGATGTTTAAATTGAATATGTTGATCAATGTGGACTTCCTAAGCAAGAACTGGTGTTTGTACAGAAAACAATAATTTTGCAATTTTTGTTACAGTTCAGCACAAGTTATTAAAGGATATTAAAATTGTGCTTAAAACAGGGAAAAGTATGTTAATTTAAAAATTACACGAAATAATTAAACCCATCACACTACAAATTATGTTTATTTATTTAGTTCCAAAATGTGATGTTTAGTAATTTTAGAAGTATAAAGAACTGTCCATGTGCAAACATCAGTGATGAAGGCAAAACTAAAGTTAAAGTTTGAGTTAAAGTTCTACCTATATTTCATATCCATTTATGTATGTTTTCTATTTTATATTCATGAAAGATATTCTAACAAATTGACTTTTGCAAACTGATTAGTCTGATGTGGTAACACACCTTATTTCTGGGTTCCTTCCACCTGATGCATAGTTAGCAATCTGTTATCTAATTAATATATACACAGCTTTTCAATAAATATATTGGCACCACAAAGGCTATTCTTAAGAAAAGAAACAGCTCGTGCTGCTGCCTCACAGATCCATGGACCCAGGTTTGATTTCAGCCCCAGGTGTGCGTGCATGTGTGTAGAGTTTGCGTGTTCACGTGGCTTTTCTCTGTGTACTTTCTTTCAGATTATCCCCTTCTCTAAGAACCTGGAATGGACAGGCATCCCATGCAAGGCAGAGAGCAGTTGTGTGGTCTACCGTGGTCCACAGATTCCAGTTTGCCTTTATCTCCATTGGGACAAGTAGCGGCTTTCTGATTATAAATTGATCTCGGCAGTCCAGGGTCTCAGATCTGCTTTACAAAGTTAGCAATGCTTTAAATTAAGGATCTTTCACCTTTCTTTAGCTTGCTTTAATATCCTCTGCCAAAGTGATTCTGGTTAAATCAGGCTAAGAAGTTCCTGGAAAGGCTGTAACATAATCACTACATTTCAAACCTAAGCCTTTACATGCTGTGCTTGAGCAGCTTCTACTTGTAAAGACAAATTAAAAAATGAGCCAGGAACTTTCAGCTTTGCCTGAATGGACACTTGCGATGGCAATGCTCTTGTCAAGAAATTGGACATTTCAGAATATGTACTTTTAATAATATTGTGGCTTAATTCAACAAAGCTATAGTCAACGTGTCTTGTTGAAGTTCTCCATTTTTTTTCCCGGCCAGAAATTTTCTTATTCAAACTGTTTTGTACATTTAAATATTTTCTAGTTAAGATTTCAAGTTATATTTAGCATTAATCGAGGACCATATTGAACAGCGCTTGATAAACAGAAATATTTTAATCATTGTTTGCATGTGCTTGTGGTGTTTTTCTACATTTAATGATATTTGACTCCTACAAATACTGTTGAATAATAATAATAATAATAATAATAATAATAATAACAATTGATTAATTGGTTTGCAGCAATATTATGCACAATTTTAAGATTAATTGGAGAACCATTAAAAAAGTAGTTTTCAGAGACCATATACAGTATATATACAAAGTACATTTACAAAGTACTCTTTCTAAGAAGTAAGACCAGTTAGTGCTGGTAATGTAGTATTCAGATAATGGATTATTTAGCTTAGGGACTCCTCTTTGTTACACAAACAATTATTGCCATTTTAGCAATGAAAACGATCCCCCTTTGCCAAGATAACAGAAACCTTTTTCTTGTTTTAAAAAGGACTTAACAAAACTTTCTAATGCATTTTCTAGTGGTTTATTTATGTACATTTTAGAAAGTAAAAAGGGGTTGTAAGTAATTAAATGTGAGTGTTGTTCTATGATTCATTAATGCAATGTTGACATTAAGCATAACTGGCTTTGGTATTGCATGATTTCATTTCTTTCTTGAACCTACAGTACATGACAAATCTTCCAAATTCACTTTGGATTTGTTATAAACAGTTGTTCTTGCCAAAGAAGATTTGTCAATTAAAAGAAACTTTTAAGGTCTTTGATATATGTAAAATTTTACTCCATTGGTAATAGTAGGCATTAATATTCTTAATTGTGTTACTAAATAAACAAAATAGTAACTTTGATGTGTGCAAAAAACTAAATACTGAAGGGTGAAAAGTATCAGGATAATAAGTACATCACCAAGCTTAATTAAGACATGAAATTAGTAAATATTTGTTAATTGACAAACAACTGTGCAGTTTTGTCCAAAATTATGCATATTAATATTTATATATGTGCTGTCTAGTCTAAACATACTGATGACAATATTTTTTTTCTGAGATGTCAGAAACAAATGTAGCACCAATTGAATCTGGCAAGTGCTTTTGTGTTTTTGTTACTGCCAGAATGTAATGTTACACTTATATGCGATCAGCAAGATATTATATAGTATGCTGTAGGCCTATGCTCCACTGGGCTACCAGTACTTTTGCAGAAGTCTTTCCTGTAAACTGTCTCCACCACCTCTATAAGACCACATTAGCCAAAAGGACAATTAAATCATAGAAGACAGAAAATAGACGAAATGCACATTGTGATTATACTAACAAAAATAATAGCATAACATATCTGGTCTTTGATGTTTAGATTCAGGTGTTTCTCTTGTCTGTCTGAAAGAGTCTTATTTTAAGGCTGCCATTCCTGATCTGTGCCTGTATGAGTGATCAATTGTATTAAGTAATTACTCATTGTGTAAAAGAGGAAAAAATAATTACCTAGGAGACAAATAAGCAAGTTAATAAAGCTTTAAATAAACAACCAAGAATAGAAAATTGTTCTTAAAGAACTGTTAAAAATGTATATGAGAAAATTAAACACTGCACAACTGTGATGGGAAAATGGTTGTTGCATAGCAACATTGTCCACTTTGGATTACATAAATCAATTCCACTGGTCAGCTTTCATTGCAATACTTGAAAAGGTGTTTTAAATTGGGACTTTTAATTTTGCATTCATATGCAACTTTCACCAAAGCCGTGAGCAACAAAAACTGCTATTCTTCTTAGAAAAAATCTAAATGATTGGACATTCTTTACAAGAATGTCCCCTTCAGAACAAATTATAGATTTTTCTTTATTCAGTGCGTAATAAATGCAAATGCACAGATTCCGATTGTAAAGTTTAAGAGAGTATGTATGTTAGAGACCAAATTTTGTGAAATCATCTCAGGCACTCCTGTATAACATTGTAGATCTAGATCATTCCTAGTCTTTGCCCACTAGTAAGTACAGGGACAATGTCTATTAAGAAGAGGGCAAACAGAATAAATGCTTTGCATTTCACAGAAAAATGTGTGTTTTATGTTTACATTGTTGAGGAACTAGAACATTGAAGTTGAAACATCTTTGCATTTTGATTCTGTCTTTTGTTCCTTTTGTTCTAACTCGATGAGTCGCTGCATAAGTCGCTCCATTTTAAATAAATGGCAGTCATGTTTACACAACTACCCCTGCCATACTCATACATTCTTAGTTTTGCCAAACTGCCTAAAGTAGTCTTCTATACCTTAAATTTACAAAATTTCCCAAACTGCTCTGCCCTCTGGTCCTGAAGTGAGCATGTGTTTTGACACAATCCTGTACGTTCCCTAATGCACCTGTCTGACACCAATGGGTAAAATGGTATTCTAAAAGAGGATGTTTTGCCAGCCCCTTTTAAAAGGATAGTTTTTTACAGGACTGTTACTCTTTAAAAAAATCACCTCATCATGAAAGGTGAATTTGTTTGGTGACAGTATCTTCAAAGTTACAACAATGGCTTGAAAAGAGATATTTTCGGGGTGTAAAAAGGATGCATATACATAATGTTCAGAGTCACAGGCTCGTGTAAAACCCCTAATACATCCTGTGATGAGGAATAAGGCTTTTTTGTGCTTATTGGGGCTTGGGGGTTTGATTGGCATGAAACTGAAAAGCCAGATGACCTAGAAGCTCAGCTGGCTTGGCATCCGGGTGGCACTGACTAACAGTCCTGGGTCTCTTCCCACACTAGGCAATCTAGAGCATCATTTTCTCACAGGAATTAGGAACAGGGTGAAAAAAAATCTCTTTCATGTTTTGTCTCTTTCTTTCCTCTCTTCCAAACAAAAACAAAACAAAAAAAAGGCAGTCAACAAATCTTGCATCCAGGGCTCTGAAAAGGACAGTTGAAGTTCTCTCAGCCTCTCATCTCCTGCTGCCCTTCCCAACACAACAGGCAGGCCCCATTAACATTCTGCGCCAGTGCAGGAAGGGACACTGGGTTCTGAAAAGCAATGCTGGAATGTCTGTATGAGTGTGACAGACAGCAAGACAATACCTCTACTGTGTGACTTCG